ACCAAATTAAAGTCTAGCAAATATAAATATGACAATGTAAATGTAAACAAGCTAGATAATTAAGTTGAGAAAACTTCTCTAGAATAAGAGAGATGGAGATGTGAAGTGGAAAGCTCAAACCAAAGATGATCTCCTCTTCTTGTGAAACAATCATCACAAACTTGAAACTTTTAACCCACACTTAAACAAAACTTAAACTCTTGTAAAAACTTGTTTAAAACATCCCTTGATAGATGAAAATAGTTATGACAAAGGGGTATATATAGGGTAGAAGAAAACAACCCAAAAAACCCTAAAAACCCACTAAAAAATAAAAATCAGCAAGTTACCGTTACTGTGCAACGGTAACTTTGGCGGTCGACCGTGAGAAGAAAAACTACAAAACTAGTCTCTAGACTGCTGACGGTCGACCATGGTGGTCGACCGTACTGTATCACGGTCGACTGTGACGGTCGACCGCACTTTTCCAGATTTTGACAAATGCTGGAATTTTGCGTATCTGACTTTGTAAAACCAATTAAAAATAGTAAATCAACTCCAAAAATTATGAAATTTTGAGAGAATGTTCTATACATGTATAAGAATATGTTAGAGAAAGAAATTATGAAATATAATTACTCAGTTCAGAGAAATAAATATTTTAACACAGATATACAATTTCAGAAAAAAACTACTAAAAACTCGGTTTTGTAAATTCAATTGAAAATAACAAAACAATTCTAAAATTAGTAAAACTTGGGGAAGTGTTTATATATATGATTATAAAAAAGGAAACGAAGAAATTTTTCAAATCGCATTTCCTAATTTTGAAAACACTTCTATTTTGCAAAATCATGCACGAACGTGTGCACGAACATGAGCTTGTTAAAAACTTGGTTTTGTAAATTCAAATAAACATAACAAATTAATTCTAAAATTGATAAAACTTTGGGAAACATTTATAAACATAAAATTGAACATGTTAAAAAAAGAATTTCTTAAATTGAGCTTCCCATTTGTGAAAACTCATGTATTTTGTAAGTTTGTCCAAAACATAAAAATGTGATATACATAAAATTTGATGTTTTGAAATAAACAATGTTTTTAAACCCTATAAAATAATTTTATAGACTTAATAAAATATGTATACAATGATTGTTAAGTCCATAAACCAAAACTTGTGTATATATATAAATATATATATAAAAACCAGATATGTGTGTGTATATATGAATGAGCTTAAAGTACTAACACACATAATATAAAAACCTAAACTAAATATACCCAAGCTTGATTGATCTTCGATATAGCTTAACTTGGTACACTTGTGGATGAAGCTAGAACTTGGATCTTCAATTTGAATTGCATAGGCTTCACTCAACAATTCCGCCATCCATTCTCCAACATATTGTTTGCCTAGAATAAATATAAAACACAAACACTAGACAAACAATATTAGATGTAAATTGTTTGTAAATCATCTTCAAAACAAGAAGGCCAATAATCTCCCCCTTTTGATGATGACAAATAATTTACAAAAAGGATATATACATGAAAGGAAATGAATATATAAAGTATAATATATCATGCATATAAACAAGAAAGAATATACTGACAATATTTCTCTCCCTTTGACAACATCAAAAAGGGAAAAACCATAAAGAATGAAGAGAACGAAAGCTCCCCCTATCAATATGCATGGGTGAGTATAATATATATATATATATATATATATATATATATATATAAAATTTTCTAAACAACTCACATGCAAAAGAACAATAAGAACACATGTGTATATATAACATCATGAAGGGTGTTACAAAGATTTCAAGATGTATATATACAAACCAAACATTTATCATACTTTCCCCAAAGAGATGAAATGAGGATCCAAAAAGGCATCATTAAAAAAAATGTTTATGAAGGAGGATCCATAAAGGAAAATAATTTTCTTATATGTAGGGGGATAAGGAAACAAAATCAAGAATGAATATTTTTAAAATAAATAATAACAATGGATATTTTCAAAATAAATCAAGAATGGATATTCTTGCTCTGATGCCAATTGTTAGACCCTAGAGTAGGGGTGATTAGGGTCTTATACTAATCTAATCCGATTTTATGCCAATTAAAACTTATTAATAAATTATTCTTCTTGCAAGATAGATATACAATATGTTATAAGAAAGAATTATCAATATGAACAAATGAATATATCCTAGCAATAAGATATACTATGAAATATATGCAATGATATATAAACTAACACAAGGGTGAAATAAAAAATCTACAAATGTGATAGGACAAGTGATAATGGCGACAAGAATGTAATGAACACTAAGCACAAATGAAACACCAAAGCAAACTTAAACACAAGCAAATGATCACAGAGTTCGGACCTTCCATCCTACGTCTCCACTCCTCACTCCCGGGGAGAAATCCACTACCACAATCGGGTTTTCTACGCTCACCCGAATAACGTTTACACCTCACAATTTCATTCACGGAGTTCAGTCCCCACGACCTACGTCTCCGCTCCTCACCTCGAGGATATCTCCACTTCACACTCGGTTTTCTAGCTAATTAAAAACTTTACAATCTCACAATATAACATATAATTTGTTCTCTACAATAGATGAGAACTTAATATAATCTCACACTTAATTGTTACAAATCTCACCAACCCAAATATACTATATATGAAAATACAATAAGCTCAAGTGGGCGTGTGTAAACAATGAGTGAAATAAAATCAAACCCAATTAAAGTCTAGCAAATATAAATATGACAATGTAAATGTAAACAAGCTAGATAATTGAGTTGAGAAAACTTCTCTAGAATAAGAGAGATGGAGATATAAAGTGGAAAGCTCAAACCAAAGATGATCTCCTCTTCTTGTGAAACAATCTTCACAAACTTGAAACTTTTAACCCACACTTAAACAAAACTTAAACTATTGTAAAAACTTGTTTAAAACATCCCTTGATAGATGAAAATAGTTATGGCAAAGGGGTATATATAGGGTAGAAGAAAACAACCCAAAAAACACCAAAAACCCACTAAAAAATAAAAATCAGCAAGTTACCGTTACTGTGCAACGGTATCTTTAGCGGTCGACCGTGGCAGTCGACCGTAAGAAGAAAAACTACAAAATTGGTCTCTAGACTGCTGACGGTCGACCGTGACAGTCAACCACACTGTAGCACGGTCGACCGTGGCGGTCGACTGTACTTTTCCAGATTTTGGCAGATGCTGGAATTTTATGTATCTGACTTTGTAAAATCAATTTAAAATAGTAAATCAACTCCATAAATTATGCAATTTTGAGATAATGTTCTAGACATGTATAAGAATATGTTAGAGAAAGAATTTATGAAATATCACTTCCCAATTGAGAGAAATAAATGTTTCTACATAGATATACAATTTCTAAAAAAAACTGCTGAAAACTTGGTTTTATAAATTCAATTGAAAATAACAAAACAACTCCAAAATTAGTAAAACTTGAGCACGAACATGTGCATAAACATGAGCTTATTAAAAACTTAATTTTGAAAATTCAAATAAACATAACAAATTAATTCCAAAATTGATAAAACTTTAGGAAACATTTATAAACATGAAATTGAACATGTTACAAAAAGAATTTCTCAAATTGAGTTTCCTATTTGTGAAAACTCATGTATTTTGCAAGTGTGTCCAAAACATGAAAATATGATATACATGGAACATAAGCAATATTTTGAAACCCTATGAAATAATTTTATAGACTTAATGAAATATTTATACAATAATTGTTAAGTCCATAAACCAAAACTTATGTATATATATAAATATATATATAAAAATCAAATATGTGTGTGTATATATGATTGAGCTTAAAGTACTAACACACATAATATAAAACCTAAAATAAATATACCCAAGCTTGATTGATCTTCGATGTAGCTCAACTTGGTACACTTGTGGATGAAGCTAGAACTTGGATCTTCAATTTGAATTGCATAGGCTTCACTCCACAATTCCGCCAACCTCCATTGGATATGATCGTGAATGCGCAATTCCATCCATCCTCCAACATATTGTTTGCCTAGAATAAATATAAAACACAAACACTAGACAAACAATATTAGATGTAAATTGTTTATAAATCATCATCAAAACAAGAAGGCCAACATAGGAAGCTTCTTTAAAACATATAGCCAATTCTTGTTTGCCTCTTCAACAGGATCCTTTACATAGAAAACTTGATGAACTTGGCATGCCATGACAAAAAGGTCATTTATATGGCCTTTATTATTAAAATTGATGCGGATAAGCCCATATTCATCTTCTTCTGAATGAAACCAGTCACATTTGAATAGCACAACACTAAATTTGCTCCAATAGTCTATTTCAATGATATCTTGTATGTCTCCATAAAAATAACATTTCCAGTTTTAGGATTATGGTCCTTAGAACTTGCATAACTGTCTACTTGACTGGTTATAGACACACCACTACTCTAAGTTTTGCATGTTTCATCACGCGCCTTGATGTGGAAAGTACAACCATTCACATAATAGCCTCTGTACTTTTTTGCTACAAAATTAGGACCCATTGATAACCATTTTAGATACTCTAGTTTTAAACCAGTCAGTGAAGTCCTTGCTATGCTTTTGAGCTCCCGTCCATTTATTTGTTCTGCCTCTTTTTCTTGACTGATTCTCAATCAAAAGTTTATGTTCACTACATAACAATACAAAATACATAGGTCTATAAAGTGAAATATGGACAACAACATTAAATAAGAAGTAATAACTAAGTAATGAATCATACCGTATATAATTATCAACTTCATTATTATCATAATTGTACAAGGCATACTGATGTGCATTAACCTAGTCAACATTATCTAATGTAAATGCTTTGCCCTTTCTTTTCCTCTTTCCTACCAATGGGTGACCTATCTTAGGAAAAATTGGCGATGTCTCTTCTGCAACATTAACTCTTTCATACATACTTGTGTATCTATTAAATCATGTCTTGACACCATCATGCATATATAATGAGCAAAAAGTTAGGGACTCTTCAGCTAAATATCCTTCTGGTATGGATCCTTTAGGAGCACTTCTATTACGCACATATGACTTTAATCTACAAAGATATCTCTCAGTTGGGTACATCCAGAAGTAGTTGACTAGCCCACAATCCAAAATTTGTTGAACTAAACGAACAGGAAGATGAACCATGATGTCAAAGAAACTTGGTGGAAATATTTTCTCAAGTTGACAAAGTATCTCCATGATGTCAAAGAAACTTGGTGGAAATATTTTCTCAAGTTGACAAAGTATCTCTACGATCTCAGACTGCAAGGATTTAAGTTCATATTTTCTCAAGTTGACAAAGTATCTCTACGATCTCAGACTGCAAGGATTTAAGTTCAACTGGCTTGATAACTTTGCTGCATAAACCCTTGAAGAAAGCACCTAATCTGATGAGAGGAATAGCAACCCTCCTAGGTAAACTTCTTCTTAATGCAACTTGAAGTAAATATTGCATGAGAAAATACGCATCATGAGTCTTATACCCAGATATTTTCTTCTCCCTCACATTTACACATCTTGAGATATTTGATGCACAACCATGAGGCACTTTTGCATCCGCCAACACTTTGCAAAACATTTCCTTTTCTTGTGATGTCATGGAAAAGCAAGCTTTTGCAAATATAACACGACGACCATCAGCCGACTGCACAGGATGAAGATCTCGTCTTATGCCCATTTGTTGTAAGTCAAAGCAAGCTTTAACATGATCCTTCGTCTTTCCTGGAATGTCTAACAATGTGCCAACAATATTGTCACAAACATTCTTCTCAATATGCATTAAATCTAGCATGTGACGACATCTATTATGCTCCCAATAAGGTAAATTAAAAAATACTGACCTTTTCTTCCACGGACAATTTAAAAAATACTGACCTTTTCTTCCACGGACAATTTCTATTTGCTTTTTTCTTTTGCTTTTTTCCAAATTTATTGAAAAAATCAGATAATTCATCTATAATTTTAGTCCCAGACAATGATATCGGTTCTCTTTGAAGCTCAATGTCACCATTAAACGATCTTTTATTAAATCGCCATGGGTGGTCATCTTTTAAAAATCTGCGATGACCCATATAACACATCTTCTTGCTATATTTTAAATACTTAGAGCATGTATTATAATTGCAATAAGGACAAGCCAACATGCCTTTAGTACTCCATCCGGACAACATTGCGTATCCTAGAAAGTCACTAACTGTCCAAAGCAAAGCTACACACAATTTAAATGATTGTTTGATAGAAGCATCATATGTAAGCAATCCAACTTCCCACAACTCTTTCAATTCATCAATCAGTGGCTTCAAGTATATGTCAATGTTGTTGCCAGGGGATTGAGGACCAGGAATAAGTAGAGATAGCATGAAATATTCTGCCTTCAAGCACATCCATGGTGGTAAATTATAGTTGATTAAGATAACTGGCCATGTACTATGCGCAATACTCATTGTTCGAAAGGGGTTAAATCCATCACTAGCAAGCCCTAATCTCACATTACGAGGGTCTAATGCGAACTCTGGATGCTTTTCATCAAAGTCTTTCCAAGCTTTGCCATCAGCTGGATGCCTTAGAATCCCATCCTCGATGCGCTCCTTAGAATGCCAACTCATAGATTTAGCAGTTTGAGAACACATAAATAGTCTTTGAACTCTAGGTTTTAAAGGAAAGTACCTCAAAACCTTTACTAGAACATTATGCACCTTTTTAGTTAGTTGATTGGAGTCATTTGCTACATCATCCTTCTTTGGCTTCCACCGCTAAGCACCACAACTACTACACTCATTCAGTTTCCCATATACATTTCCATAGAATAGCATGCAATCGTTAGAGCACGCATATATTTTTTCATAATCGAGACCGAAGTCCTTGACAATCCTTTTGGCTTCATAAAAAGACTTTGGCAACTTTATGTCTGGAATTGCTTCCCTCCACAAGGTCAGAGAATCATCAAATGCCTCATTGCTTAGTCCATGTATGCACTTATGCAGATATAATCGAATTATGAAAGAGAGTTTGGAAAAAGTTTTGCATCCTGGGAATAACTCTTGTTGGCCTTCTTCCACTAACTTATAAAATTTCTTAGCATCCTCGGTCAATTCCTCTGTGTCTTCCTTTATGCCTTCTTCATCGTTATCTGAAAACTCTTCTATTGTGCCTCTAAAAATATCATGTAGTAATCCGCCTACATCATCATGAGTACGTGCATCATCATCATCACTCTCGCTATGGACGTTCAATCTTGATGGTAAATCCTCACCATGGAAAACCCATTTGTAATAATTATCTATAAATCCCTTGACAATCAAGTGATTGCAGACAGTATTTCACTGATTCCAACAACGATTAAAACAACCACGACAAGGACAACATATTTCATTCCCTTTAGCTGCTTTTGCAAATGCTTTATCAAGAAAGTCATTCACTTTTTCAATGTACTCGGCACTTACGTGAGAAGTATTATACATCCAACCTCTATCTTTATCCATAATTTGTATCTGCTAGAGAAAAGTAAATATATTGAGACATCAATAATATATATCTACTTACTTATAATGTATAAAAATTCATCAACTAAAGAGTTTGCATGTTATTTTATAAGACTAGTCTCTCTCAAGCATAACTATTTGTTTAAGAGTAGTATACATAAACTAAAATATGTTTATATCTAAAAAATAAATATTTATTAGTTTCATATTTTGTTTACAGAACGAAAACTTATCATTATATAGTTTGCAAGTTATTTTAAAGGACTAGTCTCTCTAAAGCATAATTATTTGTTTAATAGTAGTATACATAAACTAAAACATGTTTATATCTAAAAATAAATATTTATTAGTTTCAAATTTTGTTAAGAGAACTGAAAATTATCGTTATAGAGTTAAGCGTACATTTCTATAGCATATGTACAGATAAATGAAAAGTAATTCTATGCAGGCATTAGGTGGTCTAATAAAGAATACCTATATGTAATTTAAAAAAACAAAGCACAATAGTATGAGAAATGTAGAGATAAATGAAAAGTAATTTTATGCAGGCATTAGGTGGTCTAATAAAGAATACATGTATGTAATTAAAAAAACAAAGTGCAATAGTACGAGAAATGTATATGTAATTAATAATAATAATAATAATAGCATAAGATTCAGGACCATTTTGACTTTCTGTGATTTGATGATCAGTCAAAGATTAGAGTTGTGATGCATTTGATGAGAAAGTGAGCATCATGCTTGTTCTTGAGTCTATACTTTCTATCCTTGAACTCTTGCAAATTGGTACTGTTTTATTATTGTTCACTTTAATGAGAAGGATGACGAGCAACATTTATAATTTTTCTTTTAGGTGTTTACCAGTAATCTAATTATAGACGTAAGTAATCTCCAAACATGTAAGATGCATGAATTAAACAAAATGTGGTGGTTGAATGATGATTAATAAGATAGCAAGTGGCGTACTGCAACATGACATAGACAAAATTTGAGATGACATAAAATAGAAGTTGTGACAACAATTGAATAATTTGACAAGACCTCTATTGGTGGCATTAATGACATGAAATTATTGGAAGAGCCTTTTCTTTCCTTTTTTTATTTTTTTCTTTTTTTGTCTTCAACTTGCTGTTATAAAATAAATCTGAGGATCTTCTACTAAATCTAATAAGTTCTCATATATGATTACTATTTATCTAGATTTACACAATAGATCCATTCACCACTACAATATCATGTGTTTAGATATGATTCTATTATCTTTTAAAGAATATAAGCCACCTGAGTAAAGATATAATTGTGGTGCGAACTAAAACTTGTTGAGTGGTAAATGGGAAAGATTATGTGTTAGATCAAGATCCTCATCCTTCCTTGTCTTCAGTTAAGGAGTCAATCGTTTACTTATTAGCAAATACAAAGGAAGAAATAAATATTATATTAGAGATACGAGACTCTATTTGACTGCGGAAAGACTGACATTTAAGGCCTACCAACCTCATTAAGTTTATGTTGTTGCTCATTCTAAATTCTCCATTCTTTCTTGTGACATTTAAGGCCTACCAACCTCATTAAGTTTATGTTGTTGCTCATTCTAAATTCTCCATTCTTTCTTGCTTCCAAGCTTTATTTTGATATTCTTCTTCTAAATTCTCCATTCTTTCTTGCTTCCAAGCTTTATTTTGATATTCTTCTATGCATATTAATGCTTTTTGGTTTAATGGTTCTTTTTCACTTGCATAACAAAATATAATTGTGGAATTAGTGAATATTTATTTGATATATTGATTTTGGGAAAGAAGGTAAATATTATGACAACATCTTATAAATATTCAAAATTTCATTGATACACTTGCTCCAATCTTGGAGAATCACATATGTCTCAACAAAGATCCTCTCTATTCATTTGTCCCCTAATGCACTTTTATTGTAGTTAGGCAATAAAAATCATTAACCCAAACTTAAATGGATTAGGTGCAGTCCTAAGATAGCCTATAACCCTTAATTATCACATAAAAATTATTAATCATCACAAAACCTACCACTTCATAAAAAAATACTCCAACATCATTATTCAGCTAGTGAGCCCACTCCAGATCTCAATAAAGTAAAAAAAAACCAAACAGAATGATCAACCGAAGGCTAAAGCGAAGAGCATAAACAGAATAAATAGAGAAAATAAATTAATTTAAACAAAAATTAAAAACATATACCAATTCAATTTTATGGATTAACCTTGTCCAGTAAGGATGTAGAATTTTCAACCACTTTCAATGATCAACCAAAACAACAAAGCTAACCTTGTCCAGTAAGGATGTAGAATTTTCAACCACTTTCAATGATCAACCAAAACAACAAAGCCCTAATTTGTAAAATCAAATAAAATTTTCACTTTCAATGATCAACCAAAACAACAAAGCCCTAATTTGTAAAATCAAATAAAATTTTCATTAAATAGACAAAAAGAAAAAAAATTTGAAACCCCAGGTTTGATGTCTGAAAAGGAGAGAGACATACCCTAAATCACAAGATGATAGAGAGGGGATAGCGACGAGAGGCGCGGTAGACGGGGGAGGCACGACAAACTAACGAAGTCATGGTGGCCGGCGGCGGACTGAGCGTCGACGAGAGGAAAAACGAGAGCGCCGAACGGGGGAGTCGACGAGAGGAGAGGAGTGGTAGACGGCGGACGCGTTGCCTTAGAGAAATAGGAGAGGAGTCGACGAGAGGAGAGGAAGATGAGAAAACCCTAGAACTATCGGGTGAAGAAAGTTTAGAGTTACCGGGTGAGGAGCAGTTCTGAGAAAGAAAATAAATTTTCTTAAAAAAGTTAGGGCGCGAGCCCTTAATAAAACCATCCCTTTAGCCTACCAAAGTTTTTTTAAAGCCTAATTCAAGCCCAACACTTTATTTTGAACTGTTGCCTTTGACTCTTTCGTGATGATTGTAACCGTCACACAACCGTTCCCTTAGGAGGCAAAGGAGACGGTTTTGAACCATCCCCAAATAACCATCCCCATATTTCTATTTTGTGGTAGTGTTGTGAAATGAGCCCCTAGGTCTGTATTTATAGGATTTGGTTGGGGGTTTTTGGATAAGAATGATGGATTTGGTCTTATTCTCAGTTGACAACTGTGTAACCACATTTAGAGATAACATCTAGGTAGTTAGAAACCTCTAGAACAAAAGAAATCCCGTGAAAACTCGTCGAAAACCGTCAAAACTCATTTTTGGATCTAATCTGGCTGAACCGGGTACAAAACGAACCGAACCGGTTCAGTTCAGGCACGAAACACTAATAGGTGGCTCGGGCCGAGCCACCTTTTGTGGCTCGGGCCATGGCCGAGCCACTGGCCTGGTCGAGTCGTTTTGATGCGACTCGAGGCTTTCTCGGTATGTTCGGTCTAGACTTGTTTCATCCTTCTACGTGCATTCTGTCGTTTTGTTGACTTGTACACTTCACCGATTCACTTCATACGTTTCGTGAATGTGCAAGTCGCTTGACGATGATTGACGAGCATGTAGGCTGCTTGGTTCACCGTTTTGCTTCATGCGCTTGTTAGCGTCAGATGATCCTCTTTGACTCGAATAATCTTCTTTGACTTGGATAATAACGTTCATCGTCTTCTCTTTGTCTCGAGCTGTGTGTGAATACCTATAGGCATTTTTAGATGCCTACACACGTCAGCGCCGCTTTAGCTGGGAGCACAAAGCCTGACTGCCAGACATGTGGCTCGCC